CGAAAACACTGAAGTGCGCCATCAAAGTTTCAGTATGACGCATCCCCCCCCCCCCCCCTTCCCAACCCCCGATGGTTTAAAAAAAAAATAAAGGTAGAAACAGATTTGAGACGATGCATATTTACGTTTCTGTTGGGACAATAAATTAACATTAATTCTATGACGTCTTCCACAGTATAACTTGAGTTGTCAACACCTTTACTTTTATAACTCTATCGTCCTTGGCCTTTGAATAATACATGTATATCTTTTTTTTTTTTTCGCTGGTGGTGTACTTACAATCCTGAAGAGATCACCTATTCCTGCTGGTGGTGTAGGTACAAATCTGAGGAACTCACCTATTCCTGCTGGTGGTGTAGGTACAAAGCTAAAGAGCTCACCTATTCCTGCTGGTGGTGTAGGTACAAATCTGAAGAGCTCACCTATTCCTGCTGGTGGTGTAGTTACAAAGCTAAAGAGCTCACCTATTTCTGCTGGTGGTGTAGTTACAAATCTGAAGAGCTCACCTATTCCTGCTGGTGGTGTAGGTACAAATCTGAAGAGCTCACCTATTCCTGCTGGTGGTGTAGTTACAAATCTGAAGAGCTCACCTATTCCCAAGAACGTCTGGAAGTTGTCCTCCTCAGCTTCGATAAAGTCCTCCACTATCTGGTTGATGTCATCCTTGCCTGTCGCCTCCTTTATGGTGTCAAAGGCAACTGTGAATTCATCCTTTCTGGCGATCATTTCAGTCACTGAAGGATGAAAACATGATCGTTTGGTTACCAGTTAAAACATGCATTAGTTAGTCCCCAATTAAAAACATGCATTATTTCGTCAACAATTAAAAACATGCATTATTTCGTCAACAATCAAAAACATGCATTATTTAGTTACCAATTAAAAACATGCATTATTTAGTCACCAATTAAAAACATGCATTATTTAGTTACCAATTAAAAACATGCATTATTTAGTCACCAATTAAAAACATGCATTATTTCGTCAACAATCAAAAACATGCATTATTTAGTTATTAATTAAAAACATGCATTATTTAGTTACCAATTAAAAACATGCATTATTTAGTTACAAATTAAAAACATGCATTATTTAGTTACCAATTAAAAACATGCATTATTTAGTTACCAATTAAAAACATGCATTATTTAGTTACCAATTAAAAACATGCATTATTTCGTCAACAATCAAAAACATGCATTATTTAGTTACCAATTAAAAACATGCATTATTTAGTCACCAATTAAAAACATGCATTATTTAGTTACCAATTAAAAACATGCATTATTTAGTTACCAATTAAAAACATGCATTATTTCGTCAACAATTAAAAACATGCATTATTTAGTCACCAATTAAAAACATGCATTATTTAGTTTCCAATTAAAAACATGCATTATTTAGTTACCAATTAAAAACATGCATTATTTAGTCACCAATTAAAAACATGCATTATTTAGTCACTAATTAAAAACATGCATTATTTAGTCACCAATTAAAAACATGCATTATTTAGTTACCAATTAAAAACATGTATCGTTTAGTCACCAATTAAAAACATGTATTATTTAGTCACCAATTAAAAACATGCATCATTTAGTCACCAATTAAAAACATGCATTATTTAGTCACCAATTAAAAACATGCATTATTTAGTTACCAATTAAAAACATGTATCGTTTAGTCACCAATTAAAAACATGTATTATTTAGTCACCAATTAAAAACATGCATCATTTAGTCACCAATTAAAAACATGCATTATTTAGTCACCAATTAAAAACATGCATTATTTAGTCACCAATTAAAAACATGCATTATTTAGTCACCAATTAAAAACATGCATTATTTAGTCACCAATTAAAAATATGCAATGTGCTGAAAAAAAATAATTTTAAACCTAATAAATGTAAATAATAACTTAAATCAAAGCAATGTGAGTTTCAAATTATTTTTTTTTCAAATTGAAATTAAATCTTAGTTATAAATTCAAGTCACATCCTATTGGGAACAAAAACAAGCTTTCCAGGCACAAATCTGACTGGAAGGACACCTGCGTACTCACCGTGTCATCTTGGCCGGACACCTACGTACACACCGTGTCATCTTGGCCATCTTGGCCGGACACCTGCGTACTCACCGTGTCATCTTGGCCATCTTGGCCGGATACCTGTGTACTCACCGTGTCATCTTGGTCATCTTGGCCGGACACCTGCGTATTCACCGTGTCATCTTGGTCATTTTGGCCGGACACCTGTGTACACACTGTGCCATCTTGGTCATCTTGGCCATCTTTCCCGGACACCTGCGTGCTCACCGTGTCATCTTGGCCATCTTTGCCGGACACCTGCGTACCTTCCATGTCATCTTTCCCGGACACCTGCGTGCTCACCGTGTCATCTTGGCCATCTTTGCCTGACACCTGCGTGCTCACCGTCTCATCTTAGCCATCTTTGCCGGACACCTGCGTACTCACCGTATAATATAGCCTTGGTCATCTTGGCATTCACTACCATCATCTGATCCAACGTCTCCATTTACTACCATCAATTGGTTTAATAGTCCCATCTATTACCACCAGCTGAAATAATATCTCCATTCACCACTATCATCTGATGTAATATCTCCTTTCACAAACATCATCTCACCATAAGTTTCCCTCATCCCCCATCATCTGGCACCTACCATCTTTCATCTCCTTGTCCCGTTTCTGGTGCAGGTATTTGGTGATGTCCTTGTGTTTGGTCCTCATGAAGTTCTCCATTTTTTTATCATCGTTTATTGATAAACTTATGTTCAGCAGCTCGCGCTCGTACTGGTCCTTGACCTTGGCAAGGTGCTCTCTGACCTTTATCTTTGTCCCTTCCGCCCGATCTCTAATCAAAATCAAGTACAAAAAAAAAAAAAAATTGTTGCTATCGTTGAACATAATGTTGGACACTTCATGTCAATAAAGTAAAATAAAAACTATAGATTATTTTAGTACGGTGGCCGAAATTCTAAGATCTTTCAATAAGAGGGGGATTTAAATCCTAATTTATTTTTTTTTTAAATCCAAGTTTTAATATGAATTCATGAAGTTATATATTAAACCCTTACAAGCAGGCACCACGTGACATGTATTTATAATACGGAGAAATAGCCCTGAAGTTAGACCCATTGCCAAAAAAATATAGCGGTTGTAAAAATGACCGACCATCATGGCCAAACATCATCACCAAGAAAGACTTACTGGAGATCAAACCAGGAGCTTATTGCTGAAGACATCACAAGTAAAACATGAAGGTGGTTAGGGCACGTTCTTCGCAACCACCCCCCCTCCC